ACTAGCAGCGTAGTCTAGGCGACAGCGAGCAGCAAATTCGACGAGCTCAGCAACTAGGGCAGACGCAGCAGTGGACTCAAAGGAAGGGTCAGTGACGACAGTAGCAAGGAGACGCATGACAGTGGGACTGGCAGCACGAAGAGAGTCCGACTCTGGGTCGGGAAGAGCAAGAAGAGAGGACTCAGGAGGAGAAGGTAAAGGGGCACGCAGAGGAGTAGTGGACGGACGCAGAGACATCCGGTGCGTGCCAGGGACAAGAGGAGGACGCTGCCGCGAACCACAACCACTAGTGCGAGCAGGACGGACACGTAACGCAGGGCAAGACGCAGGCTCACGACGCTCAGCAAGACCTCCAGTAGGACCAGTGTAGGGAGAAGGAGCAGGCAGTGGGGAGGTCGGCTGTAACTGTAACTGTAACAAGACATGCTATTGACACTCTAAGGGAGGAGGAGGACCAGTAGAAGGCGGAAGATCAAGAACTTGCTGAAGGAGTGGAAAGAAGTACGGCCGCGCGGCGACTCCTGACACAGCAGGGACAGCACCAGTACCCCTAGTGGTAGCACCAGCGCCAGCAGCACTTCCAGCTCCAGGACCCCCAGCAGCTCCACTAGCACCCCTAGCAGGACCGCCAGCAGTAGCCTCAGCGCCAACACCCTCAGTAGCTCCAGCTCCAGTCGTACCCGCAGGCCCAGCAGCTCCAGTACTCCCAGTACGAGCACCTCCGGGACCCGCGACACCAGCACCCTCACTAGCCGAAGAACCTCTAGCTCCAGCAGCATGCCTCCAGTGCCGGGCAAACCACTCGCGCAGCTCCTGTGGAGAGAGTGGCTCCCGCCGAGACAAAGCACCCGGAGAACCTCCAGGCACACTACCGCCAGACGCGACACGAGCAGGCCTAGCTCCCTCAGGCTCCGCACCCCCACGCGTAGCACCCCCACGCTCAGCACCCCCAGTCGTAGCACCCCCACGCTCAGCACCCCCAGGCGTAGCACCCCCAGGCTCAGCACCCCCAGTCGTAGCACCCCCAGGCTCAGCACCCCCAGGCTCAGCACCCCCAGTAGTAGCACCCTCAGGCTCAGCACCCCCAGGCGCAGTACCCACACGCTCAGCATCCCCAGAGTCAGCACCCCCTGGCTCAACACCCTCAGCAGCACCAGAGTCACCAGCAACCTCGACAGGCTCGACTCCATCTACCTGGTACACACCTGAAGGGGCACGACCCTGAGGGGGAAGGGGGTCTACCGGGGGGGGACTTGGCACAAGGAAGAGCGGTGGCGGGGGAAGGAACGGAGTGCGGTAGGGGAAGAGGCGGTAGTAGGGGACCGACACGTCAAACGTGACGTCCTGGGAGGACAGAACACGGCGAGAGGTGGGGTGGTAGAACTGCCACCCAGGCGCGTCAGGGGGGGAACCTAGGAAGACGCAAGGAGCAGCACGAGGGGACAGCTTGTCCGCAGACAAGTCGCGGACAAACGCCCGAGATCCCCAGACACGGAACGCAGACGCATTGCCAACCTTCCCCGTCCACAGCAAGGCTGGGTAGGTCTCCGGCATGGAGACCCTGGGCTGAAGGTGTATCTGATGCGCCGCGTACCGAACCGCAAACGACCACAAAAAATGGGGTTCAGCCGCATGGATCATGGACGTACGAGCGACGTCCATGACCATGCCAATGCGGCGCTCAGCAATCCCATTTTGCTGTGAAGAGTCCGGAAGTGTGAAGGTCTGGCGGATGCCTCGTGCACGACAGTAGGCTCGCAGAAGGCCAGAGGAGAACTCTCCGCCTCTGTCAGAGTGCAGACGTAGAACAGGAAAGTCCGAGCCGAAGCTCTGCCTGAGCTGGAGACGAGCTACGCGGATCTAGTCGATCAACACCTCAGTGACATCACCCTTGCTGCGCAAGGGGAAGAGTGTGGTGTAACGCGAGTAGTCGTCAACCACCAGCAGGAAGTAGCGCTCGTGACCCTGTCCACGGACGCGGGCTGGGCCCCACACGTCCATGTGAAGCGTCTGCAGCGGTGCCTCTGTCGGAGGAAACTGGGAGGAGTGAGGGGCAGCACGCTGCCGCCCCTCGACGCAGGGGACGCAGGCAGGGGCAGGCCCCGGAGGAAGGGGAGGGAGGGACCGGGGAAGACCAGAGACAAGGACACGGGATGCCATGCCTCGGAGACGAGGCAGGGAGGGGTGACCAAGGCGGTGGTGCCAAAGGAGAGTCTCGTGAGATAGGAGACGACACGAGCAGGGGGCAGACTCAGGACCAGACCTAACCCGACGCAGCTACCCGACCAGACGCAGTGACTGGAGGAGACTCAGTGGTCAGTGTGTACAGGCTCGACCCCGGCCGATGTGTAAACGTGGCCAAGTGTCGGCCCGTCCGAGCCTCTGTGCAGTGGGTCACCCGCTGGCTCGCAGGAGTGAACTGGTGCACTCCCCCATCCTGTAGGTCAGCACCACTCTCCAAGTTTGTAGAGAACGAGGGGAGGTAAAGACCAGACAGGGTGCCAGAGGGAGCCGCCGGACACGGGAGGACAGTGGAGAAGTGAGCAAGGACAGGACCCCCAGAGGGGTCTGCCAGAGAGACTGCAACTAGCCGACCAAGCGGCGTGAGTGTGGTGCGGTCTCGAATGAAGGAGCGAGAAGCCCCCGAGTCAAGGGTGAAGGTGAGGGAGGCCGAAGCCGACGCAGTACCTGAGAGAGCTAACTCACTAGCACCTGAGGAAGCAGACGCACAAGCACCTAGAGCAGTAACCTTGCTAGCACCAAGCGCAACAGCCTCACCAGTACCTAGAGCAGCAGTCTCAATGCCCGGGTCGGGCGGAAAACACCGGTAAAAGTCCTCTCATCACTAATAGTCACAGCATACATGGCAGGAAGAATAGCATCAAAGTCAAGGTCAAAGATAGCTACTCCCGCCCTAGACAACTCGCCCCAGCGAGGGATCTCTGTGGCCTCAGAGAACTAGTGACACCAAGCGTCCGTAAGGCGGCCAAAGCAGCGCTGGGTGGAGTGCGCACCCCCGCACTGCTCACCCGCGCGGTCGCCGGTGCGCAGGACGTAGGTGCACGGACCAGTACCCCCACCCCGCTGGCGTGCAGCGTACCACTCACGGAGCTGCTGAGGGGGGGGGAAGTCACGAGTGCGCTGCTGCAGCTGCTGCTGGCGCTGACCACCACCGGAGCCGACCCTCTGCGCAATGAGGTCAGTGACTGTGGGAAAGGCAGCAAGGTTAGGGAAGAGGTACGGTAGCATGAGGCGGCTCAGTGCAGCAGTGGCAGGGGAGGAGTAGCGTACAACTACAGCGTCGTACAAGGTCTGAGCACTCTTGTACTGGCTAAAGTGCGCACGCTCAGAGGTAGGCCGGTGGCGACGCACAGGAATACGTGCAGTAGCATCGCGTGTGGCCCACTATGAGCGAACAGTGGCGTCAGCATTAGCAGCAGGGGCAGGAGAGGCACCAGAAGTGAGGTCAAAAAGGGAGAGACCGTCTGCCCTATCGCACTGTAGGAAAAGCTGTAGGTCATCTATCCAGACGTCAAAGTCAATAGCCCGACCCTCAGCGTCAAAAGCGAGGACACTAGGGGTAGCCATGACAGCAGTAGACTAGCAGCGCAAACAGTAGGGTAAGGGCAGTGCAGTGACAGAGGCGCTGTTCTTACCAGACAGGGCGGCTCGGGCAGCCCGGGCGGCTCGGGCGGCTCGGGCGGTACGACGGCTCGTCGATGCGGGCGGCTCGGCGACGCAGCGACATTGGCGGCTCGGGCGGCTCGGCGGTACGGCGGCTCGGTAGCTCGGGGACCCGGCGGCTCGGGCGGCTTAGGCGGCTCAGGTGGCGCGGCGGCTCGGCAGCAGCTCGGCGGCGCCGGGGCCCGGTGGTGACGGCGGGGCCGCGTTGGGACGGGGGTGGGGCCGGGTGGAGCGGCAGCGGGGCCAGGTTGAGCGGCGGCGGGGCCTGTCAGAACATTATAGCTTATGCTGTTGTTTAGGCTATATTGGGGTATCCCATAGGGGGTACAACCCAATTAGGGTTTCCTATATGTACTCACTTCATTCAAAGTTCATTCATTCTCGTTTGCATTTCATCATGGTATCGAGCAGGTTCCCTTGTGGGAACTGTTCCTAGGGCCCACCAACAAAAAAATTTTCTGCCCGGGGCGCGTCCTGCCCCCCCCTGCCCGAAGCGCGCCTGCCCTAGCGGCGGCCTCTAGCGGCCCGTCGCCCTTTCTGCAGCGACCCGTCGCCGCCCTACACCGGCCCGCCGCTGCCCTTTCCTTAGCGGCCCGCCGCCGCCCTACGCGGCCCACCGCCGCCTGTTCTGCAGCGGCCCGTCGCCGCCCTAACACGGCCCGTCGCCGCCCTAAACCGGCCCGCCGCCTCCCTAAGCGGCCCGTAGCCGCCCGTTCTGTAGCGGCCCGCCGTCGCCCTAAAGCGGCCCGCCGTCGCCCTAAAGCGGCCCGCCGCCGCCCTGCTGCGGCCCGCCACCGCCAGTTCTGCAGCGGCCCGTAGCCGCCCTAAACCGGCCCGCCGCCGCCCTTTCAGCATCGGCCTACAGCCGCCCTCAAGCGGCCTCGCCGCCGCCCTTTCCGGAGTGGCCCGCCGCCGCCCTAAAGCGGCCTGCTGCCACCCTACAGCGGCCCGCCGCCGCCCTTTCTGCTGCGACCCGTCGCCGCTCTAGCGCGGCCCGTCGCCGCCCTACCCTACAGCGGCCTCGCCGCCTCTCACCTGCTGCAGCGCCTCACCGCCCTGCAGCAGCACAGCCGAGCCGCCCAGCAGCCGAGCCGCCCAGCAGCCGAGCCGCCCTGCAGCTAAGCCGCCCAGCAGCCGAGCCACCCAGCAGCCGAGCCGCCCTGCAGCCGAGCCGCCCAGCAGCCGAGCCGCCCTGCAGCCGAGCCGCCGAGCCGCCCTACTTCCGACCTGCCTGAGCTGCCCAGTGTGGTGAGCACAGTCCCTCTTTCACTGCACTACCCTCACCCTACTGCCTGCACTGCTAGTCTACTGTCCTCATGGCTACCCCCAGTGTCCTAGCTTTTGACGCTGAGGGTAGGGCCATTGACTTCGAGGTCTGGGTAGATGATCTACAGCTGTTCTTACAGTGCGATAGGGCAGACGGTCTCTCTCTCTTTGACCTCACCTCTAGCGCCTCCCCTGCCCGTGCTGCCAATGCTGACGCCACTGTTCGTCCCCAGTGGGCCACGCGCGACGCTGCTGCACGTCTTGTTGTGCGTCGCCACCTCCCTACCTCTGAGCGTGCACACTTTAGTCAGTACAAGAGTGCTCAGACCTTGTACGACGCTGTAGTTGCACGCTACTCCTCCCCTGCCACTGCTGCACTGAGCCGTCTCATGCTGCCGTACCTCTTCACTGACCTTGCTGCCTTTCCCACAGTTGCTGATCTCATTACGCACCTCTGCACTAGTGACACCCGCTACCGCGCTGCGCTTCCTGCTAACTTCTGCGCCAAGAACCCCCCCCCCCCATGTACATCACCCTCTACTTCATAGTCACCCGACTCCCTGACTCCCTTAGAGTAGTCAGGGACCACTTCCTAGCTGTGTGCCCCACCACCCTCACCATTGACCTCCTCGAGAAGTCCCTTCTAGCGGCGGAAAAGAGCATAGTCGCTGTAGGAGCTTCTCGTGGTGACCCCCGCACCCCTATCTTTGAGGGGTGTTCTCCCTCCCCCCTCTTGCCCTCTGTCGCTTCTACTGCTGCTGCCAACCTCGTTGGTCTCGAGTCGGTAGGCGCTGCGTCTGCCCCTTCGGGGAAGCGCCGCACAGGCAGGGGCAAGGGGGGCAAGGGCACTGGAGGAGCTGGCGGGGGCGGTGGAGGTGGCGGTTGAGGCGGCGGAGGGAGTGGGGGTGGTGGAGGGAGCGGTGGAGGAGGTGGGGGTACCAGTGGCGGCAGTGGGGGCGGAGGCAGCGGCGATTTCGGAGGGAGCGGAGGAGGCGGCGGCAGCGGAGGCGGCGGTGGTGGTGGAGGCGGCGGTGGTGGCGGAGGCGGCGGAGGGGGCGGAGGTGGAGGTGGAGCTGGTCGCGGGTCTACGCAGAGGAGTGGCTCCGGTGGTGGTCCGCGCTAGCAGCAGCAGCGTGGTCGTGAGACCCTGTCCCCTCAGCAGCTCCGTGAGTGGTACACTGCACGCCAGCGGGGTGGGGGTGGAGGCGGCGGCGGTGGCGGAGGGAGCGGAGGCGGCGGCGGTAGCGGAGGCGGCGGCGGTGGTGGAGGCGGCGGTGGTGGCGGAGGCGGCGGAGGCGACGGAGGCGGCGGAGGAGGCGGAGGAGCTGGTCGCGGGTCTACGCAGAGGAGTGGCTTTAGTGGTGGTCCACGCTAGCAGCAGCAGCGTGGTCATGAGACCCTGTCCCCTCAAAAGCTCCATGAGTGGTACACTGCATGCCAGCGGGGTGGGAGTTTTGGTCCGTGCACCTACGTCCTGCGCACCGGTAACCGTGCGGGTGAGCAGTGTGGGGGTGCGCACCCCACCCAGCGCTTCTTTGGCCGCCTGACGGACGCGTGGCGTCACCAGTTCCCTGAGGCCACAGAGATCCCTCGCTGGGGCGAGCTGTCTAGGGCGGGAGTAGCCATCTATGATCTTGATTTTGATGCTATCTTGTCTGCCATGTATTCTGTGACTATTAGTGATGAGGGTGACTATTACCAGTGTTTCCCGCCCGATCCGGGCATTGAGACTGCTGCTCTAGGTACTGGTGCGGCTGCTGCCCTAGGTGCTTGCGACGCTGCTGCTCTAGGTGCTAGTGCGTCTGCGTCCTCAGGTACTGGTGAGTCTGCGCTCTCAGGTACTGCGTTGGCTTCGGCCTCCCTCACCTTCACTCTTGACTCTGGGGCTTCTCGCTCCTTCTTTCGGGACCGCACCACACTCACGCCGCTTAGTCGGCCGGCTGCGGCGTCTCTGGCTGACCCCTCTGGGGGTCCTGTCCTGTCTCACTTCTCCACAGTCCTCCCGTGTCCGACGGCTCCCTCTGGCACCCTGTCTGGTCTCTACCTCCCCTTGTTCTCTACGAACTTGGTGAGTGGTGCTGACCTACAGGATGGGGGAGTCCACCAGTTCACTCCTGCGAGTCAGCGAGTGACGCACTGTGCAGAGGCTCGCGCAGGCCGACACCTGGCTACGTTTACACGTCAGCCGGGGTCGAGCCTGTACACACTGACCACTGCGTCTCCTCCAGTTGATGCGTCTGGTAGGGTGTCTGCGTCGGGTCAGGTGTTTGCTGCAGCGTCCAGGTCTGGTCATGAGTCTGCCCCCTGTTCGTGTCGTCTCCTCTCTCACGAGACTCTCCTCTGGCACCACCGCCTTGGTCACCCCTCTCTGCTTCGGCTCAGAGGCATGGCCTCTCGTCTTCTTGTTTCCGGTCTCCCCAGGTCCCTCCCTCCCCTTCCTCAGGGACCTGGCCCTTCCTGTGTCCCCTGTGTCGAGGGGCGCCAGAGGGCTGCCCCTCACTCCTCCCAGTTTCCTCCGACAAAGGCCCCGCTACAGACGCTTCACATGGACGTGTGGGGCCCAGCCCGCGTCCGTGGACAGGGTCACGAGCGCTACTTCCTGTCTCACTTCTCCACAGTCCTCCCGTGTCCTGTCCTATCTCACTTCTCCATAGTCCTCCACAGTCCTCCCGTGTCCTGTCCTGTCTCACTTCTCCACAGTCCTCCCGTGTCCGGCGGCTCCCTCTGGCACCCTGTCTCGTCTCTACCTTCCCTCGTTCTCTACGAACTTGGTGAGTGGTGCTGACCTACAGGATGGGGGAGTCCACCAGTTCACTCCTGCGAGTCAGCGAGTGACGCACTGAATAGAGGCTCGCACAGGCCGACACCTGGCTACGTTTACACGTCAGCCGGGGTCGAGCCTGTACACACTGACCACTGCGTCTCCTCCAGTTGTTGCGTCTGGTAGGGTGTCTGCGTCAGGTCAGGTGTTTGTTGCAGCGTCCAGGTCTGGTCCTGAGTCTGCCCCCTGTTCGTGTCGTCTCCTCACTCACGAGACTCTCCTATGGCCCCACCGTCTTGGTCACCCCTCTCTGCTTCGGCTCAGAGGCATGGCCTCTCGTCTTCTTGTTTCTGGTCTCCCGAGGTCCCTCCCTCCCCTTCCTCAAGGGCCTGGCCCTTCCTGTGTCCCCTGCGTTGAGGGGCGCCAGAGGGCTGCCACTCACTCCTCCCTGTTTCCTCCGACAGAGGCCCCGCTGCAGACGCTTCACATGGACGTGTGGGGCCCAGCCCGCGTCCGTGGACAGGGTCACGAGCGCTACTTCCTGCTTGTTGTTGACGACTACTCGCGTTACACCACAGTCTTCCCCTTGCGCAGCAAGGGTGATGTCACTGAGGTGCTGATCGACTGGATCCGCGCAGCTCATCTCTAGCTCAGGCAGAGCTTTGGCTCGGTCTTTCCTGTTCTACGTCTGCACTCGGACAGAGGCGGAGAGTTTTCCTCTGGCGTTCTGAGAGCCTACTGTCGCGCATGAGGCATCCATCAGACCTTCACGCTTCTGGACTCTCCGCAGCAAAATGGGATCACTGAGCGCCGCATTGGCATGGTCATGGACGTCGCTCGTACGTCCATGATGCATGCGGCTGCCCCCCATTTTCTGTGGCCGTTTGCGGTGAGGTACGCGGCGCATCAGATCAACCTCCACCCCAGGGTATCCAGGCCGAAGACCTCCCCAGCCTTGCTTTGGACGGGGAAGGTTGGCGATGCGTTGGCGTTCCGGGTCAGGGGATCTCGGGCGTTTGTCCGCGACTTGTCTGCGGACAAGCTGTCCCCTTGTGCTGCTCCTTGCGTCATCCTGGGGTTCCCCCCTGATGCGCCTGGGTGGCAGTTCTACCACCCCACCTCTCGCTGTGTTCTGTCCTCCCAGGACCTCACGTTTGACGAGTCGGTCCCCTACTACCGCCTCTTCCTCTACCGCACTCCGTCCCTACCCCCGCCCCCGCTCTTCCTTGTCCCAGGTCCCCCCACGGTAGACCCCCTCCCCCCTCAGGGTCCTGCCCCTTCAGGTGTGTCCCAGGTAGACGCAGTCGAGCCTGTTGAGGTCACTGGTGACTCTGGTGCTGCTGAAGGTGCTGAGCCTGGGGGTGCTGCGACTGGGGGTACTGAGTCTCGGGGTGTTGCGACTGGAGGTGCTGAGCCTGGAGGTGCTGAGCCTGGGGGTGCTGAGCCTGGGGGTGCTGCGACTGAGGGTGCTGAGCCTGGAGGTGCTACGCCTGGAGGTCCTCCGGGGGCTTCGTCTCGCCGGGAGCCACTCTCTCCACCGGAGCTGTGCGAGTGGTTTGCCCGGCGCTGGAGCCGTGCTGCTGGAGCTGGAGGTTCTTCGGCTGCTGAGAGTGCTGGTGCTGCGGGTCCCGGAGGTGCTCGTACTGGGAGTACTGGAGCTGCTGGGCCTGCAGGTTAGACTGGAGCTGGTGCTGCTGCGGGCGTTGGTGCTGCACCTATTGCTCGTGGTACTGCTGGAGGGTCTGGACCTGCTGGAGGTGCTGCTGGAGAGGGTGCTCCAGCTAGGGGTACTTGTGCTGTCCCTGCTTTGTCTGGCGTCGCCGCGCGGCCTCGACCGTACTTCGTTCCACTTCTGCAGCAGGTTCTTGGTCTTCCACCTTCTACAGGTCCTCCTCCTTCTTTAGAGTGTCCACAGCCTGTCCCGTCACAGCTACAGTTACAGCCTGCCTCCCCACTACTTGCTCCCTCTTCCTACACTGGTCCTACTGGAGGTCTAGCTGAAAGTCGTGAGCCTGCGTCTCGTCGTGCGTTGCCTGTTCGTGCTGCTCGCACTAGTGGTCGCGGTTTGCGTCAGCGTCCTCCTCCTGTCCCTGGCACGCACCAGATGTCTCTTCGTCCGTCCACTGCTCCCCTGCGTGCCCCTTTACCTTCTCCTCCTGCGTCCTATCTTCCTACTCTTACCGACCCGGAGTCGGACTCTCTTCGTGCTGCCAGTCCTACTGTTACGCGTCTGCGTGCTACTGTCGTCACTGACCCTTCCTTCGAGTCCACTGCTGCGTCTGCCCTAGTTGCTGAGCTCGTCGACTTTGCTGCTCGCTGTCGCCTACACTACGCTGCTAGTCTTGTCGCTGAGTCTGAGTTTGTCTGTCCTCCGTCTGTCGGGGGTGAGTGTGCCCTTGGCACGGACGTCCTTGAGGACAGGCAAGAGGAGTTCCAGTGTCTGGCAGCTGCTTCACCTCATCTCGTGTCCGTACTGCTTACCCCTGAGGGAGACCCGGATGCACTTGACATCCCGACTCCGCGCTCTTACGCGGAGGCGATAGAGGGTCCCTACTCTTCTCAGTGGCAGGCAGCTATGGATGCAGAGATGGCTTCGTGGAAGTCCACAGGCACCTACGTTGATGCTGTCCCCCCTCCTGGGGCGAACATCGTCAGTGGCATGTGGATTTTCAGGGTGAAGCGGCCGCCGGGTTCTCCGCCTGTCTTCAAGGCGCGTTACGTGGCTCGTGGCTTCAGTCAGCGGCAGGGAGTTGACTACTTTCAGACCTTCTCTCCCACCCCGAAGATGACCACTCTTCGGTTGCTACTGCACGTTGCTGCTGACCATGACTACGAGCTGCACTCCCTCGACTTCAGCACAGCTTTCTTGCACGGCAGCCTGCACGAGGAGATCTGGCTGCGTCGCCCACCTGGCTTCACTGGGTCGTTCCCTCCTGGTACCCAGTGGAGTCTCCGGCGTCCAGTTTACGGTCTCCGCCAGGCGCCCCGTGAGTGGCACGACACACTGAGGACTACACTTGCGGCTCTTGGGTTTTCTCCTTCTACTGCCGACCCGTCGCTCTTTCTGCGCACCAACACTTCTATGCCGCCGTTCTACATCCTCGTGTACGTCGACGACTTGGTCTTTGCCACTGCTGACACTGCTGGACTCGCCTACGTGAAGTCTGAGCTGCAGAAGAGACACACGTGCACAGACCTGGGTGAACTGCGCAGCTACCTTGGCTTGCAGATCACCCGGGACAGAGCACAGCGCACCATTACCCTGACTCAGTCACACATGGTGCAGCAGGTCCTTCAGCGCTTCGGCTTCACGTACTCCTCGCCTCAGGCCATTCCTCTGCCTACTCGCCACTCTCTCTCAGCTCTGCCTTCGGATGAGTCCGTAGAGTCGAGTGGCTCGTGAGCTACAGAAGCGTGGACAATTGCGGCTTGCGTACGTGGCCTCTGAGGCCAACACTGCTGATGTTTTCACCAAGGCACTTGCACCTTGTGATCATCAGCGCTTCTGCACTCAGCTGGGTCTTGTCTCTGTCTTACCTCACTTGCTCACCTCTTGACCTTGCTTGTACTGTTACATATATATATATACCTGCTCTTGCTTGTCTAGCCTTATATATATATATATATGTCTACTCCTGCATGTTAACTGGCCTTGTGGCCTTGAACTTGTGCTCAGAATGTGTGGTGACTTTGTGATCCACCCTGAGCTTTGCTTTGCTTTACTTGACTGGTCTTGTGAGCCTCTGTTCTCCCCCACTTTGCCTATGGGGGTGTGTTAGAACATTATAGCTTATGCTGTTGTTTAGGCTATAGTGGGGTATCCCATAGGGGGTACAACCCAATTAGGGTTTCATATATGTA